TTTGATGCCAAAGGTGACAACTGGGGCGCAGGGCTTGGTCAGGGTCACCTGGGAGAGGAGGGGCTATGATAAGAGCCAGCACCCCTGCCCCCACCTGCAGGTCTCTGCCCTGGCTGGAGCTGGGCTGCTGTCCTTCCGGAACCTGGGGCCAAGGTGGCCAGTAGCTGTGCTCCCAGTTTGAACACAGAGGACTCAGCAGTAGTAGCTGTCACGGTGTCTAGGGAAAAGGGCAAGGCCTCTGCTTCCTGTCCCTGAAGGGTTACCTGTGGGGCTAGTGCTGGAAGTATACAGGGTCCTCAGGGTGCAGGTGCCTCCCCTCCCCACCCACCCCTCCACCCCCTCTTGGCTGTGTCCTTCCATAGCCCAATGCTGTTTCCCCTTGTCTGTGTCCCAACCCCCCTCCCCTGCTCTTTCCTACACGTTCCTCTGGGTCAGGCCCCCGACCCCACCCTGACCCCTCTGAGCTGTGCTCTTCCTGGACCTTCTCAGGGCTGTGGGCGCCTGGTCCTGGCTTGAGGGTCTTGTCCCCTGGGGGCTCTACACGGGCAGCCATGGTGTACTGCGGAGCCTTGAACTTGGTCACCTGCACATCAGTCTGGTGGTAGGCTGCGGGACCTGGGGTCTGAGAGGTAAAGGAGGCTCAGACAAACTCGGCCTACCCAGGGCGCATGGCCCTAGAGGACAGGGAGCAAACTTGGACAGAGGGTCTCAGGCCGAGTCAACAGGGTCAGCTACAAGTTGGTGCCCGTGCATCAGGGTCCCCTTCTGTCTTCTGTCACACTGTGGAGACCACACCCCCCTGCTTGTGGGGCACCTTCTCATGCGGGGGTCGCTTCCTCCATTTCAGCCTCACGCTGGCAATGACCTCCCCCGTGTGTGCCAGTCCTGGGAACATCCCTGAGCCTGTGTGAGAGAGGCTGTCGCTGCCCCGCTGGACCTGAGGGCCTGGGGCTGGCAAAACCAACGTGGACAAGGGCTGCTGGGTGCCACGATGCTGCTTTCCCATCTCAGGCCCCTCAAGCTCTCAGGCATGTGCCACCCAGGGCCTTCGCACTGGCTGTTTCTGAAACCAGGACCCTCCTCCCGCAAACAGCTCATGGTTTATTTTTTCCTCCTCCCCTTCTTTCCATGCCATCCTGTCTAAGATTGCCTCTCTCTCCAGGCAGTGCTTCATAAACCCCATCTCTTGTCCTCAGCACTGTCCAAGCTGGGGCCTGGGCCTCTCCCTTCTGGCCTATTGCCTGCCCCTCCTCAGCACTGCAGCATGACCCCAGCATGTGGCAGGCACCCAGAGGATGAAGGGCTGAGAGGGCTGAGGGGCATTGGCAAGGCAGGGCCGAGCTGGTGGGTCCTGGGTTCTGGGGGAGGGTTCAGATGACTGGGGGTGATTCTCCGTTCTCAGCTGGGGTGACCCTTGCCTTGTGTAGGTCGTCGCTGAAGCTGCCCAGCTTGCTGCGGCCCTTGATGGAAAAGGAGGGCTGGGAGACCTTGCCGACAGTGTTGGGCCCCATCACCATGGGCAGCATGTACGCAGCGGGGCCTGCAGGGTGGACGGGAGCCTCAGGGTGGACGGGAGCCTCAGGGTGGAACAGGGCCCACCGCTCCCTCTCTGGGGCTCCCCCAACTCTGGACGGGAGCCTCAGGCCGGAACAGGGCCCACCGCTTCCCTGGGGCTCCCCCAACTCTGGTCTGGAGCCTCAGGCCGGAACATGGCCCACAGCTCCTTCCCTGGGTTCCCCCCAACTCTGGACGTGGAGCCTCAGGCCGGAACAGGGCCCACCGCTCCTTCCCTGGGTTCCCCCAACTCTGGAGATCAGCCGTCAGGCTGCCCCATCTCACCCACCCCACCCAGGATCCACAGGTCCATTTGGCTGAGGATGGTTGGGGCTGCTGCAGACCTGGGGTGCTGTCCACTCGGAACGTCTTTGTTCGGGCGGAGATGGAGTGGCTGGGCGCTGAGTCGAACACGTACTTGGTGGATTTCTCTGGAAAGTAGTCACCTGGACAAGGAGCCAAGGGGGTTGCTGGGACAAGCAGGTGGGTATGCAGCCCAGTTTGGGGGCTCGAGGAGGACTCCCCAACATTCCAGGCATAGGGCCTCTGGGCTCCAACACAGGTGGTGACCAAGTCTGGTCAGGGGGTGTCCAGGATGGAAATACTGACTTCGGGGCTGGGGAGACAAGGGCCATTTTTGAGCAGGGAGAGTGGGGTCTGACGTTGGCCTGGCAGAGAAAGGTCCAGGTCGAGGCTGGGTTCTAGGGCCAGAGTCTTCTCTGCCCAGGTGTGATGGTGGCCCTTCAAGAGAGAAAGATGGGACAGGAGGAGCCAGGACGGCTGAGCTCTCTCACACCCTTGCTGCCATGAGGTTAGGGGCACCCAGCAGGGAGGGGCAGGCCCAGGGCTGCGCAGGGCAGGAGCCTGAGACAGGGTCACTAACCTGGGCCGGGGGTCAGCAGAGTCTTGCTGTGGTAGCGCCCCAGGATGGAGTAGGCAGGGCCAAGGTCCTTGCCAGTCCTCAGTATCTTGGGGTTTACATTATAACGGGGTCCTGGGGAGCAGTTCTCTGCCAGGAGCATGGGGGCCCCGCGGAAGCTGTAGGCTGGCGCACGGAGCTTGGTGGGCGTGTGCTTCACGAAGCCTGTGGACACAGTGGGCCCTGAGCAGCCTGGACCTGCCCTTCTCCCCATGGGGAGTCAGGGATCGAGCCCCAGGCCCTTCCCGGCCCCCCCACCTGCCCGCCTGGCTCCTGACCCTCCCAGGCTCTCAGGCTCTTACCAGTTGTTGGTGGAATCAGGTACTTGGGTCCAGGGCTGCTGTAGAGGGCCATGATGGGTCCCCGGGGGCGATGGGGCCTCCAGGTGCCCATCCATACCTCCTCCGTCATGGCCAGCTCTGTCCGTAAGTGAGAGGCTTACCAGGTGCTGGGAGGCCCGACCCTGTCCCAGGCCGGCCCCTGATGCCCCCGTCCCTGCTCTTGCTGACACTGAGGGGTAGACCTGCTGAACCTGCCACAGCGTCCTCAGTGGGGATCTCCAGCTGGGAGCCGGGAGTAAGGGATGGTAGGTGCTTGCTGCATGGGACTGTGAGCTCCTCACCAGCTTAACTGTATCCCAGAGCGACTGTCCATGCTGGCCCTCAACTCACCACCGTTTTCGGCTCTAAGGGAGCCCTGGGCGGGTTTCTCCTACTTAGAGTGGTGATCAAAGACGGGGAACTTCTTGATTGAGGCTGTGCTGAGGGGCAGGGAGGGGGCCCCCCAGGAGGGAACTATAACTTCTTCGGCGCAGGGACAGCACTCAGAGCAGCCTACGGACCCATCCTCCTCAGAGACCGTCCTGTCCCCCCTGGCCTTGGTGCCAGGGAGTTCCTGCAAAAGGAGCATGGAGAGAAAGGCTTTCTCTCTTCAGGGGCTTACAGAACTGGGGAGAGGTCCCCCAGTCTAAACTCTAGAATGTGGCTCTGTGGGATGACGGGTTCTAGATTCTGTCTGTGTGACCAAGACAATGGCCTCTGCCTTTGATCCCCTCACCAGATCTCACCACCAGGTCCCCTCACCAGGTTCCACCAACAGGACACCCCTATAAGTCCCCCTGACCAGGTTCCCCTCACCAGCCCTCCCACCACCATGTCCACTCACCAGGTCATCCTCGCCAGGTTTCCTTGGCCATCTCCCCTCACCAGGTTCCCCTCACCATGTCCCCTCACCAGGTTCCCCTCACCACGTCCCCTCACCAGGTACTCCTCACCAGGTCCCCTCACCAAGTCCTCCTCGCCATGTTTCCTTGGCCACGTCCCCTCACCAGGTACTCCTCGCCACATCCCCTCACCAAGGCCCCCCCCATGTCCCCTCACCAGGTTCCCCTAAGTTCCCTCACCAGACCACCCCTCACCAGGCCCCCTCACCATGTTTCTCTCACCAGGTGCCCTCAACCAGGCATCTTCTCATGAAGTCCCCCTCACTGGGTCCCCTCACCAGGTCCCCTGTAACCAAGTCCTCCAGGGCCCCCTCCTAGGGCTTCGTCAGCCAAAAGGAAATCCAGGCAGAGACCATCTAGGCAGGTGGACAGAGCACAGAGCCAGACAGCACTGCGTGGCCTCCTGGCCAGGCTCAGACAGGACAGAGGTGTGCAGAGAGGGGCCAGGGCAGTGAAGTTTCAGGGCTCAGCACCCAGGGTGGCCAAGGATGTGTCAGTTCCACTCAGCTGTGTCCCCAGAAGAGACCATAGATTGGGAAACTGAGCTGCTGGAAGGTTCTGGCTGTGGGAGAGCCTGGGATCCAGGGTCAGGATTAGGGTCTGTGCTGGTTGTGGTGGGCGTGAGTCATTGTGGGCGCTGCTGCTGCCCTGGCTGACCTCCTCAGAGGCTGCTCACCTGTGGCTCCCATCCCCCTTGGACACGGGTGTACCTTTTTTTCTCTTGGCCTTGTCCGGGGTCGTCTTGGGGCTTGAGCCCCTCCCAGTGTCTTCTAGGCAGACTCTTTCCTTGGACGACTTTGGGAAGAGAGATTGTTCTCAAACCCGCTGGACCTGGGCTGCCTGTGTGACTGTTTTTTGCACACAGCTATTGTCTTACGACACCAGCTTTCAGATGCTGAGCAACCTCCGCCCTGACCTAGCCCATGGGTGACATGGGGTCTGTGTCCACCCAGTCCTGGACACTTCCTCTTTCTGGGGCTCCCTGTCTCTCCCACCTCATACTGCTGCCTCTGCCGCCCGTCTCCCTCTGGACGCCCTCTGTCCACATGGTGCTGTCTGGCTCTGTGCTCTGTCCCCCTGCCTACATGGCGTCTGCCTGGATTTCCATTTTGGGTCTTGCCTGTGGTGTGCCTGCTCCTGTGTGGACCCTGTGTGCCCCTCTGTAGAGGACCTTCACACATGTGCTCCTTGAGCAGGACCCTCTGTCTGTGGGTCTGTGTGTGTGGCTGTGTCCCTGAGTATGTTCTCAATGTCCCCATTTGTGTGTCCATCTGTGGGGGGAGAGAGAGGAACCAGAGCCTGAGCTGCGGAAGGCTTTATTGATTACACGGTTTGAGGGTAAATTTCCATGTGGGGAGGTGGTAGTGGGCGGCGTGTCCATGGCTGCTTGTGTGGCAGGTCCTATGGCTGAGCCATGTCTGAGGTCCACTTAGGCACCGTCCTGACTGCCCAGCACATGCACCTGGAAGGCAGACACACGCGGACTAAGAGGGCTGTGATCAATAAGCGGAGAGCCATAGCTCCATCAGGCAAGCAAGGCCCTCTGTGGGGGGATCTGGCATATTGCTGTCCATCTCCTCCCAGCAGCTGAGTGGTGTGTGTGCATGCATGATGGTGTACACACATGTATGTGTGTGCATATCCCAGTGTGAGCATGCGTGTGTGAATGTGTTTATACATGTGTGCACACAGTGTGCATTGCATGTCTGCACCTGTGTTTGGATCTCTGTGTATGTTCACATGTGTGCGTGGAGGAGTAGCCCACAGACTGGGGAGGAGCAGGTCTATGGAGTCTGGGGGCTGCTCTGTGGACAGGAGGTCTGGGGTGCCCACCTGAGCTGGCTGATGCGGGTTCAATGTCTGTGGGTGGTGTGATGTCTGTAGGTGGTAGGCTGTGGGGGTGCTGTGTTGGGTGATCTTGGTAAGGCTGCAGGTCTTTAGAAAACGGTGTGCCCCCCCTGCCCTCATACCAGCAACTTGATCAGCTCTGCCTTGTGCATTGGCTGCAGGCCGTCTATGCAGGACTTGAGTTCAGTCATTGCTGCCTTGGCATCTTCGTTGACATTGTACTTGCCCAGGGGCCCCTCATAGAGCTCCTCTGGGGTCCCCACCAGTAGTGTTTGCAGGAAGTCCATGAAAAACTCATTGCAGTCCTCCCCTGTGGCCAGCCCTGCATCACGAGCGAGATGATGCCAAGACAGGACAGGGTGACTCCGGTGCAACCACAGCCCCGGACCTGCCCCGGGGCTCCAACCTCCATGGTCTCCAGACCTTCCCCTTCAATGCCCACCCCTCCTCCCCAGGGCTTCCTCCACAACACCCCCAACTCCACCTTGCCCGAAGACCCCTTCACATCCCCCTTAATCTTAGCTGCTCCAGTTTCCACTCAGCATTCCCTGGGATCACCAGGGAAGGAAAGTTAAGCCCCTGGTGTGGGGGAATTTCCCCTGATGAGAAGCTGGTCTGACCAGGGGCTTGAAGGGCCAGGTCAGGCTGGATGGGGCTGGGGTAGGGTCAGCTGGGCTTTGTCTTTGGTTGGGGTGGAGTTGGGTGGGCACGGGTTCTGCAGGGTCCTTACCCACTTCTGTGACAGGTGCAGGTGGAATGTTCACTGCGGGGGCTTAATGCCAGGATTTTACCTTCTCGGGTACCCCCAACCCCCCTGCCCCTGAATGTTCTGGAAACCCCAGTGGCACAGACTCACGGCAGATGCAGAACAGGGTGAGGGCCACCAGCAGGAGGGCACGGCTCCCCTTCATGCCAGCAATCTCAGGAGCTGCCTCCAGCCAGAATCCCGGGATTTTATGCCTCACCGGGCAGCACCTCTCCCACAGGGCGGACCGGACCTGCCCATTAGGATCTGGCAGCCAGCTCAGATGAGGTTTATTCACATCCCTGTCTCCCAGTGGGTGCCAAGCAGCAACAGGCATGGGATGGCTGTGTGACAGGTGGTTGGCAAGTGGTTTTAGGGTGTGTCAGAGAGAACAGGTGTGTTAGGAGGGAACGCTGGTGAGGGAGGCCATGCCAGCCGGTCGGTGAAGAAGGCAGCGGGTCCTGGTCACCAAGGGCCTCTAGTCATGCCTGCCCTTGAGGCCGAGGGTGGTGGGATCTGGGCTTGGTCCCATGCCTTTCTTTTGAGGTAGGAATCCCTCCTCTTATCACTGTGCTGTGTGATCAGGGTTTGCATCTGGAGGTCTCTAACCAGGCAGGGACCTCCTCAGTACTCAGATGGGGGTGGCTGACTGGGGGAAGGGGGTGCAGGCTGCACCAGTGGACACTGCCGTAGGACTGCCTGGGGACTGTGGATCTGTGGGGTGAGGAGCAGCCCAGTGGCAGTGCCTAGAAGAGAGAAGGTGGCCTGAGAGGGTCCGAGAGACATAGAGCTGGCCATGCCGGGGCCAGGTCTGAGCAGGAAGTGAGGAATGGGAGAGGCTGGAGGTACATCAGTAGCCAGGACAGCAAGGAGAGGTCGAAGGCCCTGGGGAGATGGTCCCAGGACATATTACAATGGACACAGGAGGTTGGGACACCTGGAGCCACCTAACAAAACCACCCCAAGAGAGGCCATGAGTAGGGGTTTCCCAGTCCAGTCCTCTGGCTGAGCCACACGGTCCAAATACAAAGGGCCCCTGCTGCCACCTGGTGGCTGATGGCGTCCCCAGGATCCCGGGCCACTCGCGTTTAGGCTCTGGAAGACCAAGGTCCTTGTTACAGTGAAGGACTCCTAAGTGAGCAGAGATTTACACCTACTCCAAACAATGAAATAAAATCCCATTGTGGACAAAGTATGCGGGATGGAAATAAGGCTAGGGTAAGGGTTAGGATGAGGATTATGGTTATGGTAAGGGGTTAAGGGTTAGGGCTCAGCACTGGTTAGGAGTTAGGGATACAGTAGGGCTGAGTTAGGGTTAGGGTTTGGATTAGGGTTCAGGATCGGGTCGGGTTCGGGTCAGGGTCGGGTCAGGTTCAGGTCAGGTCAGGGTCGGGTTGGGTCAGGGTCAGGGTTGGGGTAAGGTCAGGGTCAGGGTCAGGGTTAGGGTTAGGGGTAAGGTCAGGGTCAGGGTCAGGGTGAGGGGTAAGGTCAGGGTCAGGGTTAGGGGTAAGGTCAGGGTCAGGGTTAGGGGTAGGGTTAGGTGTAGGGTTAGGTGTAGGGCTAGGGGTAGGGTTAGGGTTACGGGTTAGGGTCAGGGTTAGGGGTAAGGTCAGGGTCAGGGTGAGGCCTGGGTCAGGGTTAGGGTCAGGGTCAGGGTTCGGGTTCGGGATCAGGTTAGGTTTTGGGTTCAGGTTCGGGATCGGGTTAGGTTTCGGATTCGTGTTAGGGTTAGGGTCAGGGTCAGGGTTCGGGTTAGGGTTCGGGTTAGGGGTTATGGTTCGGGTTCAGGTTCGGGTTTGGGTTAGGGTTAGGGTTCTGGTTAGAGTTGGGGTTAAGGGTTAGGGTTCGGGTTGGGGTTCGGGTCGGGGTTCAGGTTGGGGTTGAGGTTCGGGTTGGGGTTCATGTTCGGTTCGGGGTCAGTGTTCGGGTTGGGGTCAGGGTCAGGGTTAGGGTCCGGGTCAGGGTCAGGGTCCAGGTCAGGGTGCGGGTCAGGGTCAGGGTCCGGGTCAGGGTCAGGGTCTAGGTCCGGGTCAGGGTCAGGGTCAAGGGTCAGGGTCAGGGGTCAGGGTCAGGGGTTAGGGTCTGGGTCCGAGTCCGGGTTTGGGTTCGGGTTCGGTTTAGGGTTAGAGTTGGGGTTAGGGTTTAGGGTTAGGGTTGGGGTTGGGGTTGGAGTTAGGGTTGGGTTACGGTTAAGTTTGGGATTGGGGTTGGGGTTGTGGTTAGGGTTAAGGTTAGGGTTAGCAAATTTCTCAACTTGTCGACCTTTGTTATTAACTGAGCGGGACTTAGGAGAGGAGCCTGGTTCTCTCCACACACCCCAGCAGGTACGCCGCCCATGTGCCTGTGGATAACAGCGGTTCCTGTAGGGCCGGCATGTGTGGACCAAGTAGCTGTGAAATTTCTTCTGAAGAAAATGCACAGGAGGACGCAGGTGAGCTCAGTGGAGAGGGGCACTACCCCAGGGGACGTCCACATACATGGACTTGTGAACCCCGAATATCTGAGATGATCTCAGTCAATTTGGAAAGTTTATTTTGCGAAGGTTGAGGACGCACGCCTGTGACACAGCCTCAGGAGGTCTTGACGACATGTGTCCAAGGTGGTCGGGACACAACTTGGTTTTATACATTTTAGGGAGACAGGAGACATCAATATATGTAAGATGAACGTTGGTTCCGTCGGGAAAGGTGGGACAAGTCGAAGCAGGGAGGGGGCTTCCAGGTCACAGGTAGGTGAGAGACAAACTGTTGTATTCTTTTGGGTTTCTGAATAGCCTCCCCAAAGGAGGCCATCAGATATGCACTTATCTCAGTGAGCAGAGGGGTGACTTTGAATAGAAGGGGAGGGGAGGCAGGTTTGCCCTAAGCAGTTCCCAGCTTTTTTCCCTTTAGATTAGTGATTTTTGGGCCCTCAGATTCATTTTCCTTTCACAGGCTAAACAGCTTTAGGAACTGAAAGGTTCTTGAGACTGTAAGGAAGAGTCGAGTTGCTCCAGGTGAGTCTTGGCCGCAACAGCACGCAGGACCTGGGCGCACACGAGGGGCTCCTGGGAGGGTTCGGGAAAGGGAGCTGTGAACCCTGACTATCTGAGATGGTTTCAGGTGATTTAGAAGGTTGATTTTGCCAAGGCTGAGGACGTGCACCCGTGACAGCCTCAGGAGATCCTGACGACAAGTGCCCAAGGTGGTCAGGGCACAGCTTGGTTTTAGGGAGACATGAGACGTCAGTCA